CTGCAGTTTCTTTGGTGTGGGGAACTCCCAGCAATTCTTCCCTAATATATTTTTGGACAGTTGCCAGGGGCACTCAGGAGTTAAGCAATTTCTCTATGAGTACACAGTCATAAACTTACAAAAATCACCAGATAATTTACTTTTCCTCAAGAACAGAGAGAATAAATCTAAATTAAAAGGGAAAAAAAATGCCTAACAGCATGCCTCTTCTTCTCAATCACAGTTTAGATCTGTGAATGCATATAAGATGAAGATTGTTGAAAACTGCCTCTTCCTTGTGTACCACTGGCCTGTTACAAAGCCTTGCATAGAATCACCCTGGGACTTGGCATTATTGTGAGAATGCTGATGTTTTATCTCATCATGATGAGATCAGGTTGCTTGTTCCAGCAACCTGGCCACAGGTCAGGTTAAGACTGAAGTGCATATGCTGCTCCCTCTTCCCCAAGGGGAAGAAGTTAGAGATGTCATCATCTACATACCTTCAAGACCTGGACAGTAATGACCTGAGGGAGCCATGTTTTGCTCTCTTCCACCTTCTCCTATTCCACCTCTTGGCCCCATGGGAGAATTCAGTATGCTGCTAATGATATACTTACAAATCAGATTAAAAGAATCTGATAAAAGATTTAAAGACTACCTGGTTCTACTTACCTTAGTGTTATTTAACATAATATGAGTATAATGCCAACCTAATATAATTACCATATCATAATATAATTATAATGTTAATATAAAGTTAACATACAACCTGTCTACAAGGATATTTTCTTGGTCGTTTTGTGAATCAATCATATAAAAACATATACATTAAGCTACAATTGAGCGGCTACTTGCCTGTGTTTGTACTCCTTTAGAACTTCCTCTAAATTGTTGATTGCTTTAGCCTATTTACCACCATAGCCTGGGTGGCCCTTCATTGGGGGAGGAGCTCCAAAAGGGACTTTTAACATTTCAATCCTCATGATTAGCACAAATATTTCAGATCCTTAAATAAACTATCCTAATTATTAATAGGAGCAGTAAGCTATGGTGGATAGAAAGATGGACCTCAGGGTCAGGAAGACCTTCAATACATCCTGGCTCTGTGCCTCAGGGTAAGTCCCTTCACCTCCCAGCACCCCATGAAGCTTTCAAGATTACATAGGCTCACCTGCGTCGGTAGAGGAAGTTCTGGGATTGGAGGTGGAGGAGAGAAGTAATAAAAGGCTAAAGAAGTATTTACAGTGTTCCCCCTTCCCTCACGTTAGGGCTTTGAAGTGAATTGAAGGTGAAAGTGAAATTTGGGGACTTTTGTTTTTCTCACCCTGCTGGATCGAGAAACCCCCATGGAGCAGAAGGCAGTCCACCTCCTGAAGAACTAGCAAGGTCGTGGAAAAAGCAGTGGACTTGGGAGCTGGTTCACGTTCTGGCTCCTACACTTACTACCTGCGTGAGCTTGGGCAAGACACATCATTTCTGAGCCTCAGTTTCTCCATCTGGAAAATGGGAATTAAAAAGTACCTCTTACCAACCAAGGAAAGGGCTTTGTCGTGCTTAAATTGCCCTAGAATTCTGGATCTGGTCCCGCTCAGGAAGTCTTTGGGGTGTCGCTGAGTTTTTAGAACTAGGGTCTCTTCTTGAATGTATCATGGAGGACTGGTGAGCAGGTACTAGTTTGGCTGCTAGCATCCCTATTTAGAGAAGAGGCTGCAGAGAGGGTTTCTAGAAAGGCACAAGTGCATGTAACAAAAGGGCCTTGCTCGCCAATTCGGAGGATGCACAGACATTCGGGTATGATGGCTCTGTGATTAAGAGAGGCTGGTGATTGGCTGCATAGCTGGAACTGTGGTTTATTCAGACAGCTCTAATAGGCCAGAGTTGGGCCCAGATCTTTCCTGTCTAGTTTCGGCAGACTGCTGAGGAGGAGAACGATGTAAATGTCCCCAAATGGAGAAATGGGTCTTGCCCCTTTTCTGTCCCCACCCCCTCCACCCCAAAGGGCTGCCTCAAGTGACACAGGAGCTCGTTGCTTCTGTTTCTTCAACGGTTTCTAAGTAGAAGAGTGTTGGAGATGGATATGAGCAAGAGCTCTTGAAAAGTGGGCTGCCAGGTCGTCATTGAGTCACTCCAAGTTTATGTTTTCTATACCAGTACTAATTCATCTTTTCTCTGATGATTATTAACCAGGCCTCTCCAAGTCTGTCCAGGGCCAAGGGAGCTGAAGGAGCACTGTCATGAAGACATCTTAATGTTTGTCTAGAGAATTCCCTCACTGTGTGGGTGGGCGAGGCATGGAAGTAGCAGAAGGGAGCCTAGGGAGGAAGTAGGTGTCAGTAGCCAAAGAAAAGGGAAGGCTTCTAAACATAGTGCTGACGTCTGAAGCCCTAGGTGCTGCTTCAGCACCCCATTCACCAAAAGAAAATGAATCAAACCACAGTTGTTCTCTGGGTAGGATGGCTGATTTGCCTCTTTGTATTGGGAAACAAACTTATTTACTGCAGCTTAATTTAATTTTGGCTTGGATTGGTTTAGAAATGACACTGAGTCTCAATTTCATACATATACACACACATATTCATATATACACACATATATATACATATATAATAAGCATTTATTATTAAAATAGTAATAAAAGTAAGTGATAGTACAAGTCTCAGTAAGTAAGCAATAATATTATAAGTCTCAATAGGTATCATAGGTCTCATTAAGTAAATCTCAAACAGTAGTTCTCAATCAATAATAACTTAAGTCTCAATTTGTATCAGATCTTACCACAGTTGATCATCACCATCTGGGAAATCATCTACATCTGTATCATGCAGCTGGCGAGTCCTGGGTTCAGTGTCCAGAGTCCCAACAAGAAACTCCTGGGCTAGGTGTCCATATCATAGGGGAGACTCTAAAGATGGCTCAGGACTACTGGCCTTTACTAATGCCTTCTAACAAAGAAGGCAGTTTACCAAATAAATTCATGATCAATGGGAAAGGAGCTGTTCTCAAAACATCCTTGAGAGCATTCTTGTTTATGAGTATTTGGTTCCTGGAAAGGTATCCAGCCCTTCCTGGGAGCAAATACCATAAACAGTCCTTCAACTTCTAGTTAGGAGTAAGGTTAACATGAAAAAAGTCAGGGTCAAATTGCTGGCATACTGAGCCAGGTCAGAAAGTCATTTTGAATTCATTCATCACACTCTTTGGCAGAAAATGCCAGTAGGTATGCCTGTGAGACCTAGCCAGGGAGCCTAGGCCTGTTGGGTATTATTTACACTCTGTCCTTCCAGCATTTTTCAAAATAATAGCTATAAAAGTTGGTTGTAAGTACATCTCTTGAAGGATTTCTCCCTCTCATCCATATGGTTGGCCTCTGTGACTTGTATAAGACCTGCTCCTGTGTGCCCAGAAGAACAGGGTTGTTTTCTGAGGCCTCACTGGAGTTTGACTGGGAAGTCTTATTCAGGTCTGGTCCTAAATTAGTTAAGCCACCATGAAACTGCCCTGGAATGAGAGTTGTCCAGTCTTTCCTTAAACTTCTGAGCTTCAGGATACTGAGTGTCTACATTAACCCACCAGTAGCGGGAGCAAAATGGGGTAAAACTAGCAGATTCCATGAAGGGAGAGGAAGGAGGGGACTATGGGCTAGAGTTGTGAGAAAACCTAGAACTTTTAGAATAGGAGCCTCAAATCCACAACATCAAGCTGCTTGATCCTCCCCTTCACCCCCATCCCACCCCCACGGCCTGCCATAGAGTTCTTTTTCCTGTTGCTCAGCTGACTCAGATGAACAAATCTATGGAAGCATACTAATCCCCTTCCCTTTCAGAAATAATAAATCATGCTTTTACTCAATATTGGTCTAAAAATCCTCCTCCTCAATTGAGTGAGAATCTAATTAGTTTTCCCTTGAATAAAATATTTAATGTCAAGTAAACAGTGTCCTGTTTTAAAGTTCACTTGTGTCTGACTCTTCGTGACCCCATTTGGGGTTGTCCTAGCAAAGATACCGGAGTAGTTTGCCATTTCTTTCTCTAGCTCACTTTTTAAATTATTTTTTTCCTCCAGCTCATTTTACAGATGAAGAACTGAGGTAAACAGAGTTAAGTGACTTGCCCAGAATAATACAGCTAGTGAGCATCTGAGGCCAGATTTGAACTCACATGAAATAAAAATACATTTGGATTCAGAACGCAGAACTGGTAACAGTGGATGGAAGTTTTTAAAAAACAAATTTAGGTTTGATATCAGGAAGAATGTTTACAATTAGACCTGTGATTATGTGATGCTTTAGTTCCCAGCTGACCTAAGTGGGCAGAGTTTCAGGCCTGGAGTCAGGAAGACTCATCTTCCTGAGTCCAAATCCAGCCTTGGAAGCTTACTAACTTTGTGACCCCAGGTAAGTCACAGGGCCCCGTTTGCCTCAGTTTCCTCATTTGTAAAATGAGCTGGAGAAAGAAATGGCAAACCAGGCCAGTATCTCTGCCAAGAAAACCCAAATGAGGTCACAAAGAGTTAGACGTGACTGAAAATGACTGAGCAACGACAAAAAGAAAAAGGGAAATCGGTCAAGCAGTGAGTACAACTTGGAATAATTTCCTGCATGTTCTTTGACACTCATGCCATAGGTTGTGAATCGCTTACATTGTCTTTATTTCAGAGTGTTGGGTGGTTTGCATGAACTCTACTTCTTGGATCCTGTTGTGACAGGAAAGGAGAATGAATACCATAACTCTTAGGCAGAGTTTAGACAGAGATCTCTTTAAAATACACCTGTAGACTCTAAGGATGATGAAAGAGAGGTATATGTTAGAAAAAGATGCAGAAATCTCACGGGATATAGCAGAGGCAGGTAAAGCCAAAATCATGTTCAATTTGGCTCGGAATTTAGGGGGTTTCTTTACTTCCTGTACTTCTAGTGGTAGCTGCTAGTCAGGTTTCATTTTTTATTTCCATAATCTGCCAAGCATCTGATGACATTTAATACTTCTCTCCCTCCCTATTGGAAGACATTTCAGTTAGTCATTTCCCCCAAGGAGGTGGAGGAGGGTCAGTTCTCAGGAGGTACAACCAGTTGGGAGTGGGGCAGGAGAATCTGAAGAGAGAAAGTGTTAATTAAGCCCTTCAGATGATCTTCCTTCTTCATCTCCTCATGACATCAGTCACTCAAGGAGGCGATGCCAGTGAGTACCCAAAAGTTAGGCTCTCCCTCGCCGCCCCCCCCCTAGCTTGGATTGGGCAGTCCAGCAACTACAAGTTTTCTTCTCAAAACATGTGATGAAATTGTGGGCTGGCTAGCCGGTGCCAAGCAAGGGTATTTTTGTTTTACCCAGTGTCTGAGGGAGGAATAGAACAGTTTTTCAGTTCTTTTGGGGGAGGATTTAAATTTCCTTTTGCTTCCGAGTGGGTGAAAATCACTCCAGGATGCCTTTCCCAGCACCTTTCTCCCTCCTACCTTGCTTCTTTTCCTTCCCTTCTTTCTGCTTTTCCTTCCTGCCCTTGGCTCCTTCTCTTATCTTCCCTTCTGGCTTGGTTGTATAGCTGGCATTAGGGGGAAGGAGAATCATCCCACTTCATTATTTTCCCCTCACTTTAAGCTGAATCTTAGACCAAAGGACACAGGGGGACACTAGGACATACAGAGAGGTTAGGAACATTGTGAGAGGCAGCAGAGAGTATTTTAAAGTGGGTGGAGGAGTGACCTCAGAGTCAAGAAACCCAGGTCCAGTCCTGCCTCTGACCCACACAGGCTAGGACCGGGGTGAGGAACTTTTGGCCTCGAGGCCACATGAGGCCCTCTAGGTCCTCAAGTGACTGAGTGAATCCAGATTCTGTGAAGTTTGGATTCAGTCAAAGGGCCGAACTTGAGGACCTAGAGGGCCACATGCGGCCTGAGACCTCAGGTTCCCCACCCCTGGGCTGGGTGATCATGGGAAACTCCTTCACCACTCCAAGGTTCAGATAAGTTGGGGAACCTGAATGGGTGGAGGGAGTTTCCCAATTCCACACTGGCATATCTTGTAGAAATGGAAATCACAGGTCTGTACCAAAAGGGAATGAGAATGTTTTGGAGGCAGAGATTTGCCTTCCTTTTTCTCTGGAAGAGATGAGGGCAAGGGAGTACATTCCAGGAAGCATAGAAGCATCCATGATTTGCTCCAAATATATGGAAGGTAGATTGAGCTTGCCCCTAAAAAATTAACGGCTTCTCAAACTGGTGTTAGGGATCTCAGGGAAGAAGTTGGGAGTTAGTTCTCCACATCTGCTGACTTTTTTTTTTTATGTCCCGGGCCTATGATTTCCAAGGGAAAGTCCCCGGTAGAAAATTCCAAGTTTGGAAACTGCCTCCCTGGATACTGATCTCAAAGTAATCTGTGCGTCTAATCTCAGAGAGTTTCATGGGAGTGCTGAGAATCTGTGACCTCTCCATCATCATGGTGACATTGCTGGAATGTGTCGGAGACTGGGTTTGAACCCCCAGTCTTCCTGGCTCCAAGGCCTAGACTCTTTCTGCTTTGTCAAACTGCCTCTCATTGCTAAGATTTGGGGTCATGAAAGAGAATTTCAGAGTGAGAAGGAGACTTAGAGGTCATTTGGCCTCTCCTGAATATTTTACAGATGAAGAAACTGAGGCCTACAGGATCGCAATGACTCCCTCAGACTGGTTAGTGGCAGAGCCATGCTTAGGATGCTAGTCTCCTGAATTTATTCATTGCCTTTTGAATTGCTTCTTTAAACTGCAGAATTCTTAACAGCATTTAGTGGTGAGGAAAATTAGGTCTTCAGCTGGGTGGGCAGGGATAGCAAAGGATTCTGGGCTCCTTCATCTCCTTGCATTTATTATCTTTCCTATAGCTTAAAGATACCAAGAGGGAAACTAGCTGTGGGCAGGAAAGGCAGGACTGAACTTGGAGTCAGGAGAGATCTGGGTTTGAATCTCCATTCCCATATTTACTAGATTGATATTTACTGATATCCAGAGAAGATAAGTGATGCGTCCATCATCAAACCCATATTAAAGTTTCCTTGTGCCTTGCGGCAGCTAAGTGGTACAGTGGATATAGTGCTTAGCCTAGAGTCAGGAAGATCTGAGTTCAAATCCTACCTTAGGCACTTACTAGCTGTATGACCCTGAGCAAGTCACTTCCCCTCTATCTGCCTCAGTTTCCTCAACTGCAAAATGGGAATAATAATGTCACCTATTTCAGACAATATTTGTAAAGCCCTTAGCACAGTACCTGGCACATAGTGGGGTAACTAATAAATGCTTGTTCCCCTGTCACCCCATTCTTAAAATGGGAGTCAATAAAATTTGTGCTACTTGGGTCCCAAGGTCCTTGTGAGGAAAGTGCTTTGTAAACCATAAAGTGCTATCTAAATGTGAGCTACTTCTACATAGAGGCGGGTAGGAGGCAAGAAGATAGCACAAGGGAACAGCTGCCCAAAGTACCTTCTCTACCAGCCTAAAATTTCTCATTAGAGTCACTAAAGAATTAATTGACAAAAGGTGGCTCAGTGGGTAGAGTGCCAGGCCTGGAGTCAAAAAGACTCATCTTCATGAGTTTAAATTTGGCTTTAGACACTTACTTACTGTGTGACCTTGGGCAAGTCACTTAATCCTGCTTGCCTCAGTTTCCCCATCTGTAAAATGAGCTAGAAAAGGAAGTGACAACCCACTGTAGTATCTCTGCCAAGAAAACCCCAAATGGGGTCATGAAGCGCTGGACATTACTGAAACAACCGAACAATGACGGAAGGGAAACATTGCTAGATCTCGACTTTGTTCCCTGGATGTGGCCTCTCAAAAACATTGCTCACCATTAATTTTTTGAATTATCTGCTTCATAGTTGGAGACCTAAAGGAAGGAATGGAGGGAATAAGCATTTATATGGTGCCTACTGTGTGCCTGTACTGTGCTCATTTCACCCTCACAACCACCCTGAGAGATAGGTGAGGTTACTATGCGTATTTTTACCTTTGATGAAACGGAGGCAGTCTTGGGTGGCAAGTCAAGTCAACAAGCATTTATTAAGCCTTTACTATGTGCCAGGCACTGTGCTAAATACTCCAGGTACAAATAGAACAAAAAAGAATGATAATCCCTGCCCTTAAGGAGCTTAAAGAGGACATACAAAAGGAAGCTGGAAGGATATGGAGGAATAGGAGGCACCCCTAGGGAACGAGGAAAAAAGTCTAGGAAGTAGGGAAGGAGGAGTGTAGGTTAGAGAAGGAAAGAGTGTGTACGGATAGCCTGGGCCTTTCAGGAGAAACTGCACTATCAGAGGAAGGGGCCCCGCGGGCAGAGGGCTCTTTGAAGGTGAGAAGGCTTGCGGAGAATGGTGTGGAAGCCAGGTGAAAGGGATATAGATAGGAGCTCTCAACACGGGTTTCATCTGCTTTAACAGCTTTCTTCAGGGCTGTTCTAATTGGGAGCTTCGAAGATTTTGGTAGCAGAGGTAATGCGGAGAGGAAGAGTCACCATGTGAACAAGCTTTGGGAGCGGTGGGAGTAAGCAAGGGGAGAGCTGGGCAGCCTGTACAGAAATCTCCGGTGCAGACTGGCACCTACCATTCCTTGTACCTGCAGAATTTTATATGAAGAAAAGTGGGTCAAACTTTTCACAGCTAACCTTGTTTCCTTGTTTCAGATTGCACAAAGTCATGCACAGTTGGTTAATCTAGGTCAACAGGCTGTACGCATACATGCAATTTTCTCCCCTGTAAGTACAGAGTATGGGCGTGTGTTCACTCTGTCACAGGCCATCCTAAGAAGCAGTCAGATGATGTGGTGGATAAAGCTTCTGGCCTGGAGTCAAGGAGACCTGAGTTCAAATCCAGCCCCAGAGACTTACTAGCTGTGTGACCTTGGGCAAGTCACTCAGCCTCCTAGGAGGTAACTAGATGGTTCAGTGGATGGAGTGCTGGGCCTAGAGTCAGGAAGATCTGATTTCCAATCCAGCCTTAGACACTTGCTAGCTGTGTGATCTTGGGCAAGTCTGCCTGCCTCACTTTCCCCAAGTATAAAATGGAGATAATAATAGCACCTATCTCCCAGGGTTGTCAAGAAGGTCAAATATTTGTACAGCATTTATCACAGTGCCTGGCACAGAGTAGGCACAACATGGTGCTAATTATTATGATCATCCTCATACAATGATAGTCTTTGGGGATGGAAAAGTGAATTTGCAATGGGTCAATGATCAATTAATCAACAAGCATCTATTATGTATTAGGGAGTGTGCCAAGCACTGGGAATATAAATAGGGAGACAGTTCCTGCCTTCAAAGAGGTTACATTTCTCTTGGGGGGAGGGTAGGGAGAGATGTATCATGAATGACACTGTTCTATCATGGCTTAGACTGATATCACAAACTACCTCCTAAGAGATGAGTTTGCCATCTGTCTACCTTCAATCATTCCTGAATTAGAAAGATTAACATTTTTTAAACGGGCCCTCATTACGCTATTCATTATATACTACATTATTTATTATATATTATATTATTACATGTTATACATGTGATAACTACTTTTAGCCATTATGACAATCTTTATCTGTTTCCGTGGAGCTAGTCAATGTTTGGAGGCTTGTCTCTTGAAAGAGAAATTCCCCCAGGATAGTATTCCTTCCCCAGGCCCTCTCCTTAGATATATGTGGCTATGGCTTAGTGTCTACGGAGCTGGCTTCAAAGCCAAGAAGACCTCAGTTTGGGTTTGCCTCTGGCACATACTGGCTGTGTGACCCTGGGCAAATCATCCTCTTGATGCCTTTAGGCAACTCTAAGACCAGAAGGCCACAAGCTACTTGTAGTTAGCTTCTCTAAAGCTCCCTATTCCAGTGAAATCACAGGGTCCATGCTGATCTTTGATTCCCCTGTATTTCCATCACCTACGTTTCTCACTGATGTCTTTCACTGTTTTTTTCCTTTGCATGCTTGTGGTTTTCATGACTATTGTTCTCTGAGTTCTCTTTTTTTACTCTATGCCGGGTTCCAATGAGCTTTCTATCTCATTTTTGTTATTTGCAATGGTGCAACATTATTCCATTAATTCGTATGCCACAATTTGTTCACCCATTCTCCAACTGATAGCCACTTGTTTCTTTTTTGGGGAGCAGGTGGCAGGTAGGCTACCACACACACAGCAAAGCAATACTATGAAGATTTTGGTCTATGTGGGCTAT